GCTTTACTAATTCAAGAGATCTAATGGCCACATATATGACTGTGGAGTGATTGATGATTGATCTTTTTGAAATGGGATCGAACAACTACCCATTTTATTTATTGAATGTCAGGATTCCAATAAACCAATCTGCTTGCGCGTAAGTTTCAACGAGGAATGCAATGCTGCATTTGAAGGTGATTAGTTCCCTTGCATGCACCATGAGGATTTCATTTTACAGCGCTAATCCGAAGAGTCCGAATTGCCAAATTGGGAAGATTACGAATCTCAGAGTAGTGGTAAGTTCCCTTTTTCTCATCCTCGTCTTATGTTCAGGAAGCAAATTGCAGAGGTCTGCTCTACTATCTTGACTGTTCAGACAATCCATCAGAATGGCGGATTTACTCAGATTTGGTTGTGGCTGAAAACGCTCGTGTTCCCTGTTGTTACTGCAGCGATCTGGTGGTACTGGAACAGGGTGAGGTTCAAAACCTTTATTCCAAGCAAATTTTTCTTTTTGCTTATAACTAGCCTAGCCATTTCTGTTGAATTTAGATCGATAAATTGGCTCGCAAACCTATACTGCTCGAAAAGGCAATAATGGCTCTTGGAATAAGTTTAGCAGTGCTTGACTGTGAGTTCCACTTTCTAAATAGTACTGTGCTTGTTCTCTTATAGCTTTGACATTTCATCCATTACTTTAAGAGTGGCTACATACCTTGCGTCAGCTTTTGAGCGGCTAGGAAAATACAGCATCGATCTAGCGCACAGCAGCGTATCACCTGCGTATGCCAGTGTGCGTTCAAATTACTAAATCAGTGCTTATACTTTCCTAACTGCTGAAGACGCTAGCGTATGCTTGTGTACGGCGCATTGATAGCTTTGCTTTTCTAATCGCTCAAAACGCTGACGCAAAGTATGAACGCATTTCTAAAGCCATGGATAATTGAAGAGCAAAAGGCCAGGCTCACTCTCACCAGGATGAAAACCAACTGATGTGTCTTTGAACGGCTAATGGGTCTGTCTTCCGTATTTGCTGCGGATTTTTCTGAATAGGGCTGGGTTCTCAATACGAATTTGAGAATGGAGGCTGCTCAGCGCCAAAATCCGTTGCGCGTGTTAG